GCCATGGCCTTCCTCTGCAGAGCCTTCCTTGGTGGTCCCCCATCCAAGTACTAACCCTGCTTAGCATCTCCCAAGAAGGGCCTTCAAGGCAAGTGAGAAGCAGAGGTGCTTGGCCATGGCCTTCCTCTGCAGAGCCTTCCTTGGTGGGCCCCCATCCAAGTACCAACCCTGCATAATTTCCAAGATCTGATGAGAGCAGGCTATACCGTGCCACCTTCCCTCCAATCCGTATGCTACCAAGGCCTTGATTTTTCGAGGGTACTTAAGGCAAGACATAGGTGTGTCCTATGCATGAAATAATTTACAAAAGCTTTCAACGCTGTTTGAAGAAAAAGCCATTTTAATCGTTTCTTTTTTCCATTTACAGTAAACTAAAAGAGCAAAATACCCCCAAGACAAACAAGTTCCAAACTCAGCGGTACTGTGGAAGATCCATATTTAAAAGCTATAATAACACTTAGCTTAGCTTAGAACAGCAAGTTTCAGCTATCAGAAATTCTTTTCGCTAGAAAGAAAACCCGGAGGTTTGTAAGGCAAACAGCCTCCTGACTTTGGCTATGAAACAGGCAGGAAATTCAACACAGGCAAGAGAAGCCAGTACATCTTTGCGCCCAGGTTGTGCCTTGGCAGTCTACAGCCCATTGCTTAAATGGTATATGTGTGTGCAAATTTTAACAAGAGCTATAACTGCTTTCCTTCATATCAAACTAGCTTTTAGGCCTATGTGTCAGTATCCCCATAATGCCCAAGGCATAATTCTAGGTAGGGTTCATCATGTCCCCACCAGAAAGGATAACCAAGTAAAGCTGTTCAGCTATCCTACGTACTAACTTAGGGACCCTGGCGGTGGTAAGTTGTAGGAAAGGGGGTTATGGGTTGTTCTTAAGAAGAAGAAGAGAAGAGATTGGATTTATACCCCGCCCTTCACTACCCAAAGGAGTCTCAGAGCAGCTTACAAACGCCTTTCCCTTTCCTTCCCCACAACAGACACCCTGTGAGGTCGGTGGGGCTGAGAGAGCTCTGACACAAACTGCTCTTTTTCAAGAACAGCTGTGCCAGAACTACAGCTCACCCAAGGTCATCCAGCAGGTGCAAGTGGGGAATCAAACCTGGTTCTCCCAGATTAGAGTCCGCGCACTTAACGGCTACACCAAATTAAAAAGAAACTGCCAGTGCCTTTACAACACTGCCATCGTCAGGGTTCCTTGACGGAGAGCAAAACCACTTTCAAACTGGTTTAGGTTTGTAACAGAGATGTACTGGACAAATTATCTCTCCCTTTTGGTGTGACTGGCTAACAAAAGTATTCTAGGTTTTAGCCTCTGCAGCACCTGGTATTCCCAGTTGGTCTCCCATCCAAATACTAAACAGGCCTGACCCTGCTCAGCTTCCGAGATCAGACAAGATGGGGAGCGTTCAGGGTGGTATGGCCTGAATGGATATGGTGGTATGGATCAGAGTATGGAGGCAAATCTTAGCACATGGTATAATAATCTCTGAAGAAGTGAGCCGTGACTCATGAAAGAGCCACAAATTTTGTTCATCTTGAAGGTGCTCCTGGACCCTTGCTCTTTTCTACCGCTACAGACAGACTAACACAGCGACCCATCTCGATGTGTCTTCATGGTTTAATAGAGATTGCAGATGACTTAAGAGGCAGATCCAGCGGAAACATCAAGAGTCCAAAAGCAATAATACTATCGAAATTTTGAGGGACCTGCTTAACCTTAAGAAGAACTATAGAGATCTAATTAAAGTCAGAAAACAGAACTCTTTTGTCTAGAGAATGGCGTCAGCTTATATCTGCTATCAATAACAATGACAGCACAACCTTTTGGCCTATTGTTAATTCTTCTAGGCTTTGTGGCGTTAGGATACCGCATTAACCCAAAAGGAAGGTGACGCAGAACCTATGACAATCCCCTTAAAAAATAAAGCTTATACATAAAAGGTCCTTAATTAGTGTACGTAACTGTAACTTGTACGTGAATTTTAAGAGGAAGCCCTCTTTTTCCCTGATGACACATGGGAAAGATACAAGTCTTCCTTTTGGGTAAATAGGGTGTTTATTCAGAGAGACGTCTACCATATATTTTTGGGGTGACTCCCGTTACCATCCATTCAGACAGTCTGAACATGGCTAAATCTTCTAGCCAAGTACCCAAAACTCCTTAGGCACTGACATTTTTGGACGGAAGTAACCTTGTTTTCAAGGCACTACAGATATTAATATTAACCCCTCCCCCCAAAAAACTTCTCTTGCTGGAAACGTGACGGGTTGTGTCTGTTACAAAAATAGCTGGAGCAGGGTGGGGGGTACAGCAAACGGTAGGGTGCCAGCCATTCCCCCAGGACATCAGGCAGAGTCAGCTGAAGGCTTAAAAGTTCTCATAATGATGGACGAAGTAGGTCTGGTCCCGCTTGTTGATCTTCTTGCAGGCTTTCTCCACATTCTTGGTCATGCCCGGAGGGCCGCAGCTGAACACCCCGATCTTCTTAACCTGGAAGCAAGGAGAAGAAGTTCTCAGCGCAGCTGTAAACGGAGAGTTTGTAGCAATGCTCATGTCCCTCCCTAAGGGCTCTTTTTGTAGCAGGAGCTTCTTTGCATATTAGGCGACACACCCCTAATGTAGCCAATCTTCCAAGAGCTTACAGTAGCCCCTGTAAGAAGAGCTCTGTAAGCTCTTGGAGGATTGGCTACATTAGAGGTGTGTCACCTAATATGCAAAGGAGTTCCTGCTACAAAAAGAGCCCAAAGGAGCTCTAAACATAGGAGGGGCCGTGGTAAAAAAGCATCTGCTTTGGGAGGCAGAAGGGACCCGGGTTCTGTCCTCAGAATCTCCCGTTAGAAGGAACAGGTGTTGGGACAGTCCTCTACCTGAGACCCTGGAGAGCTGCTGCCAGTCAGAGTAGACGATACGGACTCGGATGGCGCAAGGGACTGACACAGTAGAAGGAAGCTTCATGTGTCCGTTGTCTCTGTCTAATTATTATTTTTTTTAATCCTGAACCACCAATATGTAATTTACCTTTGAAAAGCTACTCTGTGTGTCTGTGTAGATACATGGTATAGATCAGGGCCATGGTGGACGGCTGCAGCACAGGGGTCCCCAACATGGTGCCCACGGGCTCCATGCTGCTGGCCGGCCCCTTCCCCGGTGCCTGCCAAGTGTTTATGGAAAGTGGGCAGGGTCAGGCGGGGCTTTCGCCAGCAGAGCTTCTGATTGGTCACAGGAGAGTTGATTGACGGTGTGCATTTTTAAAAAATGTTGCTTTGGCGGCAGCTGCCGCCCCAGCACAAGGACCTTCACCGTGTGACTGCAGGTAAGCTACGGCAGCCATTTTGGGGCCTGCTCCACCTCCCGTGGCAGCCATTTTGAGGCAGCCATTTTGTGGCTGCGCCCACCACCCTGGGTCAGAACTGCAAAGGTGCTCAAAAAGGTTAGGGACCCCTGCCAGGGAAACAGGCTCAAAAAGGTTGGGGACCCCTGCCGGGGAACGGCTTCAAACATGGCTCAGCAGAAGGGTACAGGGTGGCCACTGGTGGCAGGTTAGGAAATACCTGGAGATTTTGGGGGTGGAGCCTGAGGAGGGGAGGGACCTCAACGGGCTACGATGCCCACAGCCAGCGTTCCCTCTAAGCTGAGTTGGTGTGAGCTAGCACACAGTTTTTTAGCCTCTGGCTCACAGATTTTTACCTTAGCTCAGGGAAGATGGCCTCAAAGCAAACTGATCTGTGCAGCAGCCAAATGGCTCTCTCACAACTTTAATGCCAGTAGCTCACAAAGTAGGATTTTTGCTCACGAGTCTCCACAGCTTAGAGGAAACATTGCCTACAGCCCGCCTTCCAAAGTGGCCATTTCCTCCAGGGGAACCCATCTCTGTGGCCTGGAGATCAGCTGTAATAACGGGAGATCTCCAGCCGCTGCCTGGAGGCTGGGAACCCCAACTGGAGGGAGATGGGGGTGTGCAGAGTTGCCAGCTCCTGGCTGGAAAACTCCTGGAGATTTGGGGGTGGAGCCCGGGGAAGGCAGGGACCTCAGTGGGGTGCAATGTGCCACAGAGCCCACCCCCCAAAGCATCCCTTTTCTCCAGGGGGACTGATCTCTGTGGAGGCTGGAAGCCACGGATTCCATCGATTTGTGGTCATGGCCTATAATAGGGTTGCCAGGTGCCTACCTCGTGCCAGCAGGGGGATTTGGGGGGTGGGTGGGAACATCAGCGATATGATGATTTCACGTCGAGAAGTGACGCCACCACGTTGGTGACGTCGGGGCGAGGCTTTACTTTTGGGACAAAATTCAATGGTGAAAACAGCTACGAGCCACAGAGTTTTGCCCAAGGAGTAGAGCGTTGCCCCCGACACCGGCAACGTGATGACGTCATCACGTTGCTGACATCACACAGGGAGGTCTGTTGGGGGGCGGGGTTCCCCCTGCGTCGGACCACCTGCCCCCACTGGGGGACTGGGAAGCCTAGCAAAATCCCTGGCAAAGGCTCTGCCTCTTTGCCTCCCTCCGTATTCTGGCCGCTACCGAGAGGCTTCCGCCCCGTTCGTGCCACTGACCTCCGGATGCACCTCTTGCAAGGAGCAGAAGAAGGGGAGGAAAGGCGGCCGCCCGAAATGGGTGATGGACCGCAGGCCTGTGAACAAGCTCCGGTTCAGGACCTTCTGGAAGTGCCGCTCGCAGATGTACTGGAAAGAAGAAGAAGAAGAAGAAGGGGAGAGACAGAGGGTAGTCAGAGCGCAGAGGGTGGCCCCATCACTCCCCCTGCCGTCTGCCACCACTAAACATCTCCATGAGGTTACAGAAGGCAGAGCGGAATCAGGCCTCGTCAGGGTGGACACCAGCCTCCTGCGGCCTCCGCTGGGGGGAATGAGATGTGCGCAACCTCTGAACCCTCCCCAGGGAAGCGCCCAGGGCCCGGTGTGTGGTGGGCCCCCAAGCTTTGGTCCTGCGAAGACTCACCAGCATAGTCGTCCGCAGGTCAAATTTCTCCGCCAGCTGGGTGATGTAGATGTGGACGGACACCAGCTCGCGCTGGTCTTTCTCCTCCAGCTCGCGGATGATGTCGGCCACCCACTCAAACTGCCTCTGCGTCCGCGTCACCCAAATGAAATAGATCTGGGGAGGACGAGAAGATGGACACGGCGATTGCGGGAGCCCTCACAAAGACAGTGCCACAGGCTTGCTGACCTGTGCTTAATGCAGGGGTCCCCAACCAGGTGCCCACGGGCACCAATACTTTTCCCGGCGCCCGCAAAGTATTTGTAGAAAGTGGGCGGGGGCAGGTGGGGCTTTTGCCCCGCAAGGCTTCCGACTGGCCGCTGGAGATTTGATTGGCTGTGCAGATTTTTAAAGACGTTGCTTTGGCAACAGCTGCAACAACAGCACAAGGACTTTCGACTGTGGTAAGCTGCAGTGTCCATTTTGACTACACGATGCGGGGTTTACGGGTCCACCCCACGTATGCCCTGGGACCCGTAGAGCAGATATGCACTGGGAGTTTGGTGATGCAACTCAATTCCCAATCCAGATTCAGATCTGAACTGTGGCATGTGGAGAGAGGGGGCTGAAACCTTCCCTTCTTCCTGACCTGAAATGGCTCCACTGGGTGCCCTGTGGGGAAAATGTATATGTATCGATAAGCTACACATGGGGCTCCCAGCTCTGGGTTGGGAATACCTGGAGATTTTAGGGGTGGAGTTTGGGGAGAGCAGGGTTTGGGGAGAGGAGGGACCATGACCGGGTATAATGCCCTGGAGTCCACCTTCCAAAGCAGCCATCTTCTCTGGGGCACTATTGTAATAGCGGGAGATCTCCAGGTGCCGCCGGGAGGTTGGTGACCCTAGCTATCTGTGTCCTGACGGGCATTCCCACCTCTTCCAGTGACTGACTGTCCCTCCTTCTGGGGGGCCCATCACATTCCCCGAGAGCCGTCCCAGTACTTTACTCTCCATCAGTCTGAGCATCTCCCGTCCGGACAGCCTCACCTTCTTGCAGGGGATCTTGGAGCCGACCAACGACTTGAAGACCAGATCCTTGAGGATGGAGGCAAACGGGGTCACCCCGATGCCTCCTCCCACCAGCACAGACACTTCGAACTTGTTCCACTCTTGGTGACCTTCCCCAAAAGGCCCATCTAGGTAGAGCTGCAAAGAGGCAGGGGTGAAGAACGGACCTCGACGGCTTCCTCATTCTGACAACACAGTGCGTGGGCGGGCTGACCTGTCGGGTGGCCAGACCCCCTGGTGGAGGCAGGGGTCCCCCACCAATGCTCCCTCTAAGCTGTGGAGCCTTGTGAGCAAAAATTCTACTTTGTGAGCTGCCGGCATTAAAGTTGTGAGCGAGCGATTTGGCGACTGCATAAATTAGTTTGTTCTGGAGCCATCCTTCCTGAGCCAAGACAACAATCTGTGAGCTAGAGGCTAAAAAGCTGTGAGCTCACAGCTTACTCAGCTTAGAGGAAACACTGTCCCCCCCACTGCCACGCCCCTCCTCCCTGCTGCCAATCAGCTGGCCAGCATGGGGAACTTTCCCCCCAAAAGGGGGAGTCCCAGCTGATGTTTTAGCAGTGTGCCCATGTGACTTCAGTGTGGCCTGGAAGTGATGTAGGCACTTGGGGGCAACACTCTGGTTTTTGAGCATCACTCTGATGTGCCTATGTCACTTCCGGGTAACGCTGGAAGTCACTGAAGCATTGGATGAAATGTCCTGCTCCCGGTAAGCCCCCCCCCCCCATCCCTCACTGGCAACCCTACTACTCAGCATTTTGTAATCTGCTTCTTTATCAGAATCAACTTGCACCTGAAACAATGCCCCACTCAAGCCTGGTGCTAAGGGTTGTGGGCATGCACGTGTGTGTTTTATGTCTTGAATTATGATAGGCCTTTGGGGATCTGGGGGAAATATAACAAGAGCTGCAGCCCTAGGGCTTAGCAAACAGTTGCCCCCGAGTTGTGGTTTCTTGCAGAGGAAAAGAGGCCCTGTTATGAGAGGTTTTTGTTCCCGCATCTGATTAGAGAATCTGAACGAAACAAGCAAGAAATTGCAAGTAGATAAATAGGTACCACTTCGGTGGGAAGGTAACAGCGTTCCGTGCGCCTTGGTGTTTAGTCATGCCGGCCACATGACCACGGAAACGTCTTTGGACAGCGCTGGCTCTTTGGCTTTGAAACGGAGATGAGCACCGCAACCCTAGAGTCGGATTCGACTGGCTTTCGAGCAAGGGAACCTTTACCTTTACCTTTACTTACCAACCTTCAAATCTGATTTTTAAAAAAAAGTAAGGCATGAGCGGTTCTTTTGAACTATAATCAGCAAACCAGACTGAAAACCTGTAGAGATGTTTATCTTTCAATGAGGAAAGGAACCGTTCTTTTTATTATGCACGACAGCAGGAAATATAGGTGTGTAAAAGTTAACTCTACAATTACTATAAAAATAAATGCTAAAATTATGAAAGTTCCTAGCAGGGCTTAATCATATTATAGCGAGTGATAGTTTTAAAAAACAAACCAAGGTTCATGTTTTGGTCTCGCTGGTTTTATGGATTTGCCAAACAGCCCAAGTTACAAACCCAGAAATCGCCCCTCTTCTGGAACTTCCATTCCGAGAAATCTGATTTGCTTATTACACTAGTGCATATTTATATATTTTTTTAAAAAATCAATCTTATCGTTTTCAAAATCTATTCTATCATAATCATACGATTACTATCTAGACGGCTGATCGGCTCCTGGCTAAATGAGATAATCGACACAAGTGCAGATGATCCAGTCAGCAGGTCCATATGAGATACATCTCATTCTTTGGCGGCTGAGTGAGGATTTGAACTCGGCTCCCTCAGTCCCTGCGCTAACCATCACGCTACACTGGCTCCTAAATAGAATTTCGGCCTCGGATGGGGGGAGAACTGGGGAGAGGAGATACCACTCCTGGGCAATGTTCCCTCTAAGCTATGGAGTCTTGTGAGCAAAAATTCTACCTTGTGAGCTACTGGCATTAAAGTTGTGAGTGAGCGATTCGGCTACTGCGTAAATTAGTTTGCTCTGGAGCCCTCCTTCCTGAGCTAAGAGAAAAATCTGTGAGCCGGAGGCTAAAAAACTGTGAGCTAGCTCACAATAACTCAGCTTAGAGGGAACACTGCGAGTCCTGGGTCTCATTTCAAATCCCCCTCCCCCCAAAAAACCACTTAACTGGGAGACCTTGTACGTCTTTCTCAGATCTTAAAAAAAATCTCCTGGGATTAGCTTGTCAGGGCAAGGGAGGGGCCCCCCTGACTGTCCCACCAATCAAAGACGCTTGTCTTATGGGCACACAAGACAGGGCCTTTTCAGTGGCAGCCCCAGAATTACAGAACAACTTCCCCAGGGAGGTGTGCCTGGCCCCCCTCACTGTCCATCTTCGGGAGGCGAAGACAGTTTAGGACTGTATTTGACTGCTTTATTGGCAGTCCTCGGAGTTTTTAAATTGTGACTTTTAATGGGTTTTTTAAAATCATTGTTGTTTTAATAGTGCTTTTTAATAATGCTTTATTTACATTGTAAGCCACCTTGAGTTCCCCAAGGAAGAAAGGCAGGCCAATTGATGTTTTAAATAAATCAATTAACTAAATAGAGCAAACAGCCTGTTTCTGTTTAGTGCGTTCAGGTACTGCTTTCCCCTGAATTAAGCTCTAGGCAGGGGGAAATGGAAAACCGCACGGCCTTACCTTGGGATACCTGCCAATTTCCGCCACGCTTTCCGGGGAGTAGAGCTCTCGAAGTCGGGTCGTCCAGGGTCCAGCTGCTCGGATGTGCAAGCTCAACGTGTCCTCGTGGGGAGCGGAGGTCAGAGTGAAGGGGTGGTACTCGGTGGTGCCCAGAGACAGACAGGCAATCCGCACCCACTGCCCGGACCGGTAGTCAAAGTCTTCGGGCCTCTGAAACTGGAGGTGAGTGACCCCTAGACCAGGGGAGGGGGAGAAAGAGGCTTCCTGAGGATCTGCCGTCAAGGCACAAGCTATGAGGAAATGTAGCTTCTAAAGACCCTGGTGCAGATCCTGCCCTTAGCCTACTATTCCCACTGAACAATGTTTATTTATCAAAATAATAATTATTATTGTGTGGCACTCTGTGGGGAATCAAACCTGGTTCTCCAGATTAGAGTCCACCAGTTTGATGTAGTGGCTAGGAGTGTGGACTCCAGTCTGGGAGAACCGGGTTTGATTCCCACTCCTCCACATGCAGCCAGACGGGTGACCTTGGGTCAGTCACAGTTCTCTCAGAGCTCTTCTCTCAAGAGCAGTCCTCGAAAGAGCTCTCTCAGCCCCTCCTACCTCACAGAGGGTGTCTGTTGTGGGGAGGGGAAGGGAAAGGAGATTGTAAGATGCTCTGAGACTCCTTCGGGCAGTGAAGGGCGGGGTATAAATCCAATTTCTTCTTCTTCTCCTGAGGCAGAGCTCAAAGAGTGAAGAATCCAGGATGTGTTTCTGTGCAGTTTAATCATTCCACAGAATAAACTAGAGAAATGCAGCAGCGAGCCCCTAGCTGCCGGTTCCATGAAAGTGGGAGCGGGGCCCACAACACCTTTGGAGATTCTCCTGCGCAAGTTGGGCTACGGCATTTTGAACCAGTTGAAGTATCCAGGTTGTCTCCAAGGGCAGCCCTGTGCAGAGTGCGTCCCAGTAATCTAGATAGGGGAGGGCTGTGGCTCAGTGGTAGAGCTTCTGCTGAGGAAGAAGAAGAGGAGGAGGAGGAGGAAGAGGAGATTGGATCTATACCCTGCCCTTTGCTCAGAGTCTCCAAGTGGCTTACAATCTCTTTCCTTTTTTTTTTCTTTCCCTTCCCCTCCCCACAACAGACACCCTGTGAGATAGGTGGGGCTGAGAGAGCTCTGAGAGAACTGTCCTTGAGAGAACAGCTCTGAGAGAACTTGTGACTGACCCAAGGTCACACCAGCAGCTGCATGCGGAGGAGTAGGGAATCAAACCCGGTTCTCCCAGATTGGAGTCCACGCTCCTAACCCCTACACCAAACTGGCTCTCTAACAGCAAGGGATGAAGTCGTCACAGAAGCAAAAGCAGCAAGGACTAGGCCAAGCCACACAGGGTGAGGAAAAAACCACGGGCACAACGAGACCCGTATCTCTCTGCCAGGAACCAATCCCCCGCGGAAGTCCAGTCGGAAGGGTCCAGGGCCCCACCCTACCTGAAGGGAGGAGCTCGGCCTTCACCACGCCGATTTCCACCTTCTTCCTGCTCAGGCTGATGAGTTTGTCTGTGCCGTAGATGAGAGCCGGGACGAGGAAATAAATGTGGAAACGGGGCTGCTGGATCAGAGCGTAGCTGCCGTGGATGATAACCTGGGGAGGACACAATGACCGACACAGCCGACGCATTATACTGCATCTTTTAAAACTAACAGGGTCCAAGCAAGAGGTCTGTCACATCACCTACAACCTCATCCCTTTAAAAAAAAGCCAAAACCTGGAGATGCCAGGGATATAATCTGAAAGTAAAGAGGTCTACCACTGAACCACAGTCCCTCCCAATGGTTTGCCTCAGTATAAGGGAATTTCAGACTTTCTATATATATGATTGAAAGGGTTGCCAGGTCCGCCCTGGTCACGGGGTGAGGGATGAGGGGGTAGGGTTGCCAGATCCAGGTTGGGAAACTCCTGGAGATTTGGAGATGGAGCCTGGGGAGGACGGGGACCTCAGTAGGGTACAAGGCCACGGAGGCCACCCTTCAAAGCATCCCTTTTTTTGAGGGGAATTTATCTCTGTAGCCTGCAAATGAGCTGTAATTCTGGGGGATCTCCAGGTTCCACCTGGAGGCTGGCACCCCTAATTGATTGAACTATTCCTCCCTATACCTATGACTCCTTAATGTTTCCTAGATCTCATTCGTTCATCCCTAAGCACGTGATTAAAAAATATCATGTACCAAACCTACATTTTACAACAGAAAAAAATTAAACAGGTAGGTCAAACAGGGAAGGGACGGTGGCCTGGTATAGCCCAGTCTTATCAGCTCTCAGAAGCTAAGCAGGGTTGGTACTTGGATGGGAGACCACCAAGGAAGACTCTGCAGAGGAAGGCCATGGCCAACCACCTCTGCTTCTCACTTGCCCTGAAAGCCCCTTGCTGGGAGACCACCAAGGAAAGCTCTGCAGAGGAAGGCCATGGCCAACCATCTCTGCTTTTCACTTGCCCTGAAAGCCCCTTGCTGGGAGAAGCTAAGCAGGGTTGGTACTTGGATGGGAGACCACCAAGGAAAGCTCTGCAGAGGAAGGCGATGGCCAACCACCTCTGCTTCTCCCTTGCCTTGAAAGCCCCTTGCTGGGAGAAGCTAAGCAGGGTTAGTACTTGGATGGGAGACCACCAAGGAAGGCTCTGCAGAGGAAGGCCATGGCCAACCACCTCTGCTTCTCACTTGCCCTGAAAGCCCCTTGCTGGGAGACCACCAAGGAAAGCTCTGCAGAGGAAGGCCATGGCCAACCATCTCTGCTTTTCACTTGCCCTGAAAGCCCCTTGCTGGGAGAAGCTAAGCAGGGTTGGTACTTGGATGGGAGACCACCAAGGAAGACTCTGCAGAGGAAGGCCATGGCCAACCACCTCTGCTTCTCACTTGCCCTGAAAGTCAAAGACATACATGACGGCGAGAATGACCAGCAGCAGCACCCCAGTCATGCCTGAGAGAGAGAGAGAGAGAGACAGAGACAGAGACAGAGAGAGACAGAGAGAGACAGAGAGAGAGACAGAGAAGTGAAATGCTGGACAAGGCTTAAGGACCAAGGAGCATGGTCCATTTCTGCTGGTCCCACATGGTCCATCTCTGCCAGTGACCTTTGCTGCCATCTTACCTGGGACTGTCTCAAAAAACCACCAGTAGTACTTAGGGGGTATCTGGGACCTGGAAAGAAGAAAGGGGAAAGACCCAATGTAATGTCTTGACTGGCCCAAAGAATGCAGATCAGAGCTGGTCGAAGATGCTGCCAATCACGGGCCTTTGCCCAAGAGCTCCAGCTAGCTGCATAGCAGAGCTGCCAATAGGGTTACTTTATTTACACCCCTCCTTTCCCCCGCTTACGTCATTCTCCTCTCCTCCATTTTATCCTCGCAACAACCCTGTGAGGTATGTTAGCCTGAGATTGTGTGATTGTCCCAAGGTCACCCAGTGAGCTCCCATGGCAGAGTGGGAGGATTTGAACCTGGTTCTCTCAGATCTTAGCCTGGCGCTCTAACCACTCACCGCGCTTGGCTCTTTCCACTGCAAAAGCTACCAGAATACTAAGATGACACAGAATTTTGTTTTTTTTTATTTTTACTTCCCCCATCTCCTGCCTTTCTCCCCCAATGGAGACCCAAAGCAGTTTACCCCCCCCCCCCCAAATCTACAGCTATTTCCCAGCCCTGAGCCGGCAACCCAAGGGTGCCACTGTCAGAACACCTCCATGAGGAACCCAAGAGCTCTTCCTGACAAAGGGCCAAGGTGCCTGCCACTTACCCGTCATCCAGAAAGACTCCAGAGAAGAGGCAAGACAGGACGCTGAGTGGGGTAACCGAGAAGATGTAGACATTGACGATGTGCCCCAGGGTATGTAGGACTGCAGGATGTTGAAAGAGAGAGAGAGAGGTGTCGGAACGGCTAATGATTAAAAAAGCAGTTTGAAATACCATGTAGTGCGATGCTGGAGCGACAACTTTTTGCAAAGACTCATCTGCACCTGGGGGTATCTGGGACCTGGAAAGAAGAAAAGGGAAAGACCCAATGTAATGTCTTGATTGGCCCAAACAATGCAGATCAGAGCTGATCGAAGATGCTGCCAATCACTGGCCTTTGCCCAAGAGCTCCAGCTAGCTGCATAGCAGAGCTGCCAATAGGGTTACTTTATTTACACCCCTCCTTTCCCCCCAACGGGGGCTCAAAGCGGCTGACGTCATTCTCCTCTCCTCCATTTTATCCTCACAACAACCCTGTGAGGTATGTTAGCCTGAGATTGTGTGATTGTCCCAAGGTCACCCAGTGAGCTCCCATGGCAGAGTGGGAGGATTTGAACCTGGTTCTCTCAGATCTTAGCCTGGCGCTCTAACCACTCACCGCGCTTGGCTCTTTCCACTGCAAAAGCTACCAGAATACTAAGATGACACAGAATTTTGTTTTATTTTTACTTCACTCATATCCTGCCTTTCTCCCCCAATGGAGACCCAAAGCAGTTTACCCCCCCCCCCCCAAATCTACAGCTATTTCCCAGCCCTGAGCCGGCAACCCAAGGGTGCCACTGTCAGAACACCTCCTTGAGGAACCCAAGAGCTCTTCCTGACGAAGGGCCAAGGTGCCTGCCACTTACCCGTCATCCAGAAAGACTCCAGAGAAGAGGCAAGACAGGACGCTGAGTGGGGTAACCGAGAAGATGTAGACATTGACGATGTGCCCCAGGGTATGTAGGACTGCAGGATGTTGAAAGAGAGAGAGAGAGGTGTCGGAACGGCTAATGATTAAAAAAGCAGTTTGAAATACCATGTAGTGCGATGCTGGAGCGACAACTTTTTGCAAAGACTCATCTGCACCCTCAACCAAACTACAGTTCCCAGGCTCCTTTGGGGGAAGCCATGCCTGCCTACCGAGTGTTACTCATTGTATGTTAGGGATGCCAGCCTCCAGGTGATCGGCTAATGTTTAAAAAAGCAGTTTGAAACACCATGGGACATGTAGTGTGATGCTGGAGCAACAACTTTTTGCAAAGACTCATCTGCACCCTCAACCAAACTACAGTTCCCAGGCTCCTTTGGGGGAAGCCATGCCTGCCTACTGAGTGTTACTCATTGTCAGCCTCGAGAGTGTGTATGTTAGGGATGCCAGCCTCCAGGTGGGACCTGGGGATCCCCTGGAATTACAGCTCATCTCCAGACTACAGACTCCCCTGGAGAAAACAGGTGCTGTGGAGGGTGGACTCTATGGCACTGTACTCCACTCTGTGGCACTGTGTCTCACTGAGGTCCCTGTTCTCCCCGGGCTCCATGCCCAAATCTCCAGGAGCTCCCCAATCTGAACCTGGCAACCCTGCTCCTGATCCCGTCAGATCTCGGGCGGTAAGCAGCATCAGCCTTGGCTAGTATTTGGAAGGGCAACCTCCAAGGGATACCAGGGCTCCGACGCAGAGGAAGGCAATGGCAAACTGCCTCTGAAACGTCTCCTGCCTTAAAAACAAGTCTAGCTCGCCACCTAGGGGTGAATAGCACTAAAAGAGTTAGGACTTCCAGCTGCCAGGCAATCTTAGGATCTCCTGGCTATTCTGCACACAATGCCATGCGATAATTAAGAAGAAGAGAAGAGAAGAGATTGGATTTATACCCCGCCCTTCACTTGGAGTCTCAGAGCGGCTTACAAACTCCTTTCCCTCCCCCTCCCCACAACAGACACCCTGTGAGGTGGGTGGGGCTGAGAGAACTCTGACACAAACTGCTCTTTTTCAAGGACAGCTGTGCCAGAGCTTGTGACTGACCCAAGGTCACATCAGCAGGTGCAAGTGGAGGAGTGGGGAATCAAACCCGGTTCTCCCAGATTAGAGTCCGCACACTTAACCACTACACCAAACTGGCTCTCATGTAATTAATCATTAACCAATTAATTAATTAACCCCCCCAAAGAAAACCCTGCCAGTGGCCTACTTGAGAAGATCAGGGCCCCCATAGCGATCCAACGGTGGAAGTCCACGGCGGAGTCAAAGGGGATGTAGCGATTGAAGAACGTTTCCCGCAGGAAGGTGATGAGGTTCCGGCACATCGTGAGCAGGATGAACGAGTACATGAAGGAGATGCTGGCGCCTCCCCCCCGCGAGATCATGATGCCCACAAAAGTCGTATCGGCGATCCCGGTGGGCGGCGATGCAAACCCATAGTCTGGGGAGACGGGAAAACCAGTTGGTGACAGAAGCGACAATGCTGAGGATACCTTACCTCAGGGGTCCCCCAAAAGGTGCCCATGTAAATTTTTCTTGGCGCCTACCAAGTGTTCTTACAGCATGGGTGGGGCCAGGTGGCGCCCTTACCCAGCGGGTCTTCTGATTGGCCACTAAAGATCTGATTGGTTATGCAAATTAAAATAATACCATTTCAGCAGCAGCTCCCAGTACAGTGTTGGTTTTATTCTCTCTCATCTCTCTTCCACAGTGTCTTTTATAATGAACTCTCCTCTCCCCCACACTTGGATTTCCTCTGTGTGTGGCTCCGCCTCCGGTGGCAGCCATTTTGTGCCTGTCTCTGACTCCCGCAGCAGCCATTTTGTGGTTGCGCACACCATCCTGTGTCAGAATTCCACAGGGCGGGAAAAAGCTTGGGACTGTGGTTGCCAACCTCCAGGTGGGGCCTGGAGACCCCCCGCTTTTGCAACTCACCTCCAGCTGCCAGAGATAGGCTCCCCTGGAGAAAATGGCTACTTTGAAGGGTGGACTCTATGGCGTCGTACCATGCTGAGGCCCCTCCCCTCCCCAAACCCCGCTCTCTCCTGGATCTACCCCCAAAGTCTCCAGGTATTTTCCAACCCAGGCCTGGAAACTCTACTGGGGACCCTTGCTTTACACGCTTCTATCCACTCTCTGGATGCTTGGGTGAAAGAGCTTGGTTACCCTCTTGGCAAAATTATTGTCTAGGGCCTGAAGCAGCTATAAACGGTGAACCACTGAACGGGATGGGGTCTGAGAGTTATAGCAGAATCGGTAAGTCACCTTATCCCCCTTTTACACAGCAGAAGCGTTGGGACTGAGGAGAATTCTAACCCAGCGAAGCCAGTCTCTACAGGCCCGAGTCACAAAAAGCAGCCACTACGGAGCCCAACCGGGAAGTTTGGTCGGCAAACTTCCCTCGTTACCCATTAATAAAGCTCTACTTGCAGGCAGGCTTCTCGGCTCTACTTTGGCGTTAGTCTGCGCCGCAAGCAGATACGTACGTGGCACTCTGAGGCGTGGCCGCCACGGGCCGCCTCCCCTGGAGACGGGCATCTCTCCTTCCTCATTGGATGAGGATGCAGAGTTCGAGCCCCGGCTGGCCACTCCAGGCCTCGGGCCTAGCGGCTGACTCTGTGCCAATAGGTCGTCTGGCAACTCACAGTAAGCCCTCTCGGCAAAGACGCCGGCCGTGATGGCGGAGAAGATCACCACGCAGATGATGTGGCGGCGGTAGTTCTCGATGAAGCGCTTGAAGTGCTGGATCTTCTGGTGGACTAAGCCCCGGTGGTACTTCTCCCTCCGCGCCTCCGTGTAGAGATGCGGCTGAAGTAAAGATGATCTGGATGAGGGGAATGAACGGGGAGGGGGGGGTTGGATGAGACAAAATGAGGATAAATGGGGGGCAGAGATATGAACCGGACCCGGATGGGCCGGGCGAGTTTGATCTCATCAGAACGTGGAAGCGAAGCAGGGTTGGCCCTGATTCAATATCTGAATGAGAAGCACTGCAGGGCTATTTTTGGGCAGGAACGCACAGGAACGGAGTTCCGGCTGGCTCCCGAGTTGGCCACGCCCAGCAGGAACTCATTAGCCTAATAGGCCACACCCAACAGCAGAAACTCATTAGGATTGGCTACATTAGGGGTGTGTGGCCTAACGTGCAAAGGAGTTCCTGCTACAAAAAAAGGCCCTGGGTTTTGACAACAAACAAGGTAAACAGAATAAGAAGCAAAAGGTGGGTGTGGCTGGATGACCACACGTCTGGTAACGTGAGGGTGTGGCCTAATGTGCTAACGAGCTGTGCTGTCAGGGGTGTGGCCCAATATGCTAATGAGCTCCTGTTGTTGGGTGTGGCGTATTATGCTAATGAGTTCCTGCTGGGCTTTTTCTACAAAAAGAGCCCTGACTGAAGCGCAAAGAAGAGGTGAAAATGGAAGAAAGCCGTTTACCTCAAGAACGGCTCAAACAGGCTTTGCTAACCCTTTGGCTACCTCACGGCCTAAAGAGATCTAGATATACTACTACCGCCACTAGCACTTTAACCGCACTTACCGTTACTCGTTATGTGTATGTTTATGAGTTTTACGATGTGTATTGTGTTTAATGAATTTGCTTTTAATGTATTTTAACTTTTAACGGAAGCCGCCCTAAGCCTGCCTTGGTGGGGACGGCGGGATACAAATTGAACTAACTAAATACATAAATAACCCAATGCTGGTGGCTTTGTATGAAAAGGTAAAGAGAATCTGTTAGCAGCCGGTTGCTAAAATGGTTGTGTCTCAAATGACACAAAAAAACCCATTAGCAACTGGCCACCAAAATGGATTACAAAGGCTGTCTGAAAGGGGCCTCAGCCTCTCCCTCTGTCCCATGCTCTGTCTCAGGGGACCGTATGCAGGAATAAATTAGCTTTGTCTCTAAGGTGCCACCAGAACCCCTGTTTTTATTTTACCCCCTTTGTGCGAGGTTGTGAAGAATTAGTACTGGCTGCACAAAAGAAAGCAAAAATATGAAAATATCAAAGAAAGCTGGGCTGGAAGGAGGGACCTTAGCAAGCGGGGCAGGGGGGGCAGCATTTGGGAAAGGGATGAAAGCCAGCTTGCAAGAGGGATACCTTGTTTGTTAGCTTTTTTTGACCCAAAGAGATGTGTGCGAACCCAGACAGAGCACCTGATCGTGGCTGGACTTAATTGCAATTTGTTGTGCAAATTAGTAAAGGTAAAGGTTTCCCCTTGCTCAAAAGCCAGTCGAATCCGACTCTAGGGTTGCGCTGCTCATCTCCGTTTCCAAGCCGAAGAGCCAGCGCTGTCCGAAGACATTTCCGTGGCCATGTGGCCGGTGAGACTAAATGCCAAGGCACACGGAACGCTGTTACCTTCCCACCGAAGTGGTACCTATTTATCTACTTGCAATTTCTTGTTTTCGAAATGCTAGGTTGGCAGGAGCTGGGGCCAGAGACAGGAGCTCACTCCGTCATGCGGCACTCGGGTCTTGAACTGCCGAACTACCGGACCTTCTGGTCTGCAGTTCAGCATCTTAACCACTGAGCCACCGCAGAGAGTGTTAGCAGAGAGTAATTTAAGTGGAAGTATACACGTGTGCCTTTAGCTTTAAAAGGTTAAACTTCACTAGAGAAAAATAGAGGAGGGTTACATGAGAAGAAAACAAGAAATAGTCTATAACTTATCTAGAGACTGGTTACTCCAAGATGGATTTTGTGTTAACATAAGAACATAAGAGACGCCAATGTTGGATCAGGCCAAAGGCCCATCTAGTCCAACACTCTGTCACATAGTGGCCAAAAATACCAGGTGCCTTCAGGAGGTCCACCAGTGGGGCCAGGACACTAGAAGGCCTCCCACTGTTGCCCCCCCCCCCAA